TAAAAGGGAAAGTCTGGAAATATTTCCAAATATATGTAGGACTTTAGTGTATGATGAAGGTGGTATCTCAAATCAGTGGAAAATGACGGATGATTTAATAATTGTTGCTGGATCAAATAGATAACCACCTGGAAAAAAGCAGAGTCTATACCTCACGTCTACACCAGGATAAATTCTATAATGGCTAAAACATTGAAATGTTAACAAACAAACAAAAACCCCCAACCCATAGAAGTACTAAAAAAAACTTGGAAAGATTCTTTTATAACCTGGGAGTATGAATGACCTTTATAACAATGACTCAAAATTCAGAAGCCATAAGAAAAGAGACATATAAATTCAACAAATAAAACTGAAAATTTCTGCATGGTGAAAAAAGAAAAATTATCATAAAAATCAAAAACAGGCCAGGTGCCGTGGCTCACCGCAGTAACCCCAGCACTTTGGGAAGCCAAGGCAGGAGGACTGCTTGAGGTCAGGAGTTTGAGACTAGCCTGAGCAAGAGTGAGACTCCTGTCTCCACAAAAAAATAGAAAAATTAGCCGGGTGTGGTGGTATGCTATAATACCAGCTTCTCATGGGGCTGAGGCAGGAGCAGGAGGATCGCTTGAGCCCAGGAGTTTGAGGTTGCTGTGAGCGAGGATGACGCCACGGCACTCTAGCATGGGCAACACAGTGAGACTCTGTCTCAAAAAAAAAAAAGAAAATAGTCACAGCAAAGCATATTGTGAAACAAATGTGTTGACTTCATGAAATAAGCAAAGCATTGACACATTTCCATTTTTACCAAGTATTATTAGCAATAAGTCTGTTGCTTACTATTTTTGCTATATTATAATGAAAATAAAGCCCATAGACTCCTGAAACTGTGAGAAATTATCTTAGAAATCCTTATTTACAAATATAAAATATATAAAACATGGTTCTACACTTTTTAAAATTTTGATTCATTTGGTCAATCACAAAGGACCAAATAGTTACTTCAAGTAATATTGGTGTTATAGGGAGGGACAAAGAGCATTGAGAAAATATGATTTAAGGTATAGTCTAAGTAAGAAGGTTTATAGTGGAATCTTACTTTTTTCCTTTTGGATTTTCACTCTATCTCCCTATCCATAAACTCCAGATTCTTGAGCTAGTTTGCTGTCATTGCCATCCTACCTGATCTCTGAAATGAACTGATTTCTCATTCATGATGGCTGAAGTACGGTTAGAAAATATACCCTTTCTCCTAAATTTATTCAAAAGAGAATTTAAACATTTCAAAAGGAAATTATGGTGGGAAACAGGAAACAAAATAGCCAAAAAACAAAGAAATGAGTGATTTGAATAGCCAGCCAAAGATTGGTTTGATTATCAGTTTAGTTTATGAAACACTGTGTTCTTTCTCTAGCTCCAACTCTGTCTGAGGATATCAAACAAAGAAATAGAAACTTCAGGTAGATTTAGATTAGCATAGCTTTGAGATATGGTAGGGCTCTCAGAGACAGTCTTATTCTAAGTAAATGCTTCCAGGTCATTCTTTGGATCTAAGCTGTGCTGTATTTCTATTTTTCAGTTACCTTGATCCTCTGGTCTTTTTCTCTTAAATGAAGAAGGACATCTGGCCCCCAAAATTAATCCTGAAGCTTTAGACTTATCTATTTGCCTATACTTCATATGTGTCCTCTGCCTCTTACAGATGGTTTACAACTCCAGAATTCCCTTTGTTCTCCCTGTAGCCTGAATCTCTTACTGGTCTATAGTTAAAGCTGGTCCTACTTTTAATGAAATTAGGATTCTTCATCAACAGATTTTTAAGCTAGCATCTAAGCCTAGTGTCTTTCATTCATTCAATCAATCAATCAATATTTGGTTAGTGCCTCCTGTGTGCCAGGCAAAGTGTGGGGAGAGTACTCCAGATAGTGGGAAAAAAATCTCTGAAGTGTGAAAATTTGTTGTGTTGTAGGAACTCAAAAGGAAGCCATCAGAACTGCAGGGTAGTAAGTAAAGAGGAGACAGGAGTAAGGTGAGGCTGGAAAGATGAGGGAGGAGTAGTCAGATTCTTATGGGTCATGTTAAATAGTTTAGAGTTTATTCTAAGTGCAATGAGAAGCTATAAAAGGGTTTTAGGCAGAGATGTTACATGCCCCATTTTTTTTTTTTTATGAAAAAGATCATCGTGGCTGCTGTATGAAGAATGAATTATAGGGTGGTAAGAATGGAAGCTGTCAACTATGATGTCTCGTGCCAACTTTTGGTGGGAAACTTTGGAATTGCTCAGAAATCCTTTAGCTGCAAGTGACAGAAAACTCAACTTAAGCTGACTTAAGCAGAAAAAGAGAATTTATTGGCTTGTAACCAAGGGTTCAGATGATGGAATCAGAACCTAATCTCTCATTCCATCTCTCTCATGTTTGTTTAACTCTGTGTTAGCTCACTTGTAGGCAAGCTTTTACCCTGTGAGTTGAGGCTTATGATGGAAAAAAACAGCTCTTTCCTGGTTCCTCAAGCAACAGTCCGATGACTATTGCTGATTGGGCCTGATTATCTTGGCTTGGTTCACTTGCCAATCCCTGACCAATTATTGCCAGTATATTTACAGTTCTGATTAGGCAGGATAATGTCATATCTAATATTTAACACTTGTTACATGTAGACACTGACCAATCAGGAATGAGGTAGAATCAGCTCCACTGGAAGTATGGGGACTGAAAATTAGGCAGGGATGGTTTCCTAAAGGAAAATTCAAGTTCTATTATCAGAAGAGGGACTGAATGCTACGCAGGCAGCATAAAAATATCTATGACAAGCCAATATGCAAAATAGCAGCTCCTTCTGATATATATGTGCAGAATCTTTGCTTCTTTTATAAAAAAAAATTTCCCTTTGGGACAATTGTTTTCTTTTTGAGGCATGTATACAACTCTCAGCTCATATGCAGTACAGAGATTACTGGTATCTCCTGAACTTCCTTACCTTCACCCACTTCATATTCACGTCTCTGTCTTCAGTGCCTAGCTCAATGCTTGGCACATAGTGGGTATTCAATAAATATGTATTTTAATTGGATTTGATTGAAATTCACTATGTAGTCTAGTGATTCATACTCAAGTACCTCCTGGAAGAGAAAGGTGTTTCTTGAACCCTAGTATTAGTTGTGTATGTGCAAACACATGTATGTAGGTCTCACATTGCATTCTAAAAACATCATCAAAAAGAATATTTACTAATTTCTCCCCATTTATATGCTATTTGTTAGAAAGTTTATACAAATTTGGAATTATCTTTTTTTCATTGCAACATAGTACATGTAAAAAACATGGAATTTCATTGGATTGTTTTCAAAACTGGGCAGAAACTGATACATGACTATATCAAAGTAGCTACCTGTAAATAACTAAAGTAGCAAAACAAAGCAGTATAACAATGCTTTTGGGAGATTATGGGTCTGAATTAGAATCATCTATAATGTGAAAAAAAAGTAGGCTGGAAAGTGGGATGAAGAAAGATTGTAAGAGGAGAGGAGAGTGTAAGAAAAATCACAAACTTGCCATGGATAAATTAATGTGGAGAACAAATGATTTAAAAATGTACTAAGAATGATCAGAGGGCAAAGTAAGATGAAGTCCAAAGCCAAAATGTGAATCCCCAAAAAAGCTGATTCATAATATATATTTGATCTATCTTATTCCTTTGGCAATTTTCTTTAGTGTTGGGCTTTACTATACAATATGTTTGCAAAGAAAAGAAACCTTTAACAAAAACACACTTACATACAAATGAGAAGACTATAGTGTCAGCTCATTTATAAGCACCTATATTTTGTTAATATTTGACAGTGATATATTTATTTGGGAGTATTAATTACTGTGGAGGAAATGTTTAAGCTCAACAATTATGCAATCTCACAAACAGTAATCTGAGTTTGTCTTTAGTCTTTCCCTTACATTTCTTCTTTTGATTCCAGGTATCTGTAATTTTTCCCCACCAAGCAAGCATGCAGAATCTGTTCAGTCGAATAACTCCAGCTCCTTTCTTAATTTTGGTATGTGTGTTATTTTACAGCAGAATTTTAAAAAATTATCTAAATTATTC